CGAGACCACCATGCCCCAAGCGTCGCACACCGCATCCGTATCCGGCGCATCCGTGGCCGAGCCTACGGCCGTATCCGATCCCGTGCCCGTATCCGAGTCCGTGTCCGAGCCTACGGCCGTATCCGAGTCCGTGCCCGTATCCGAGTCCGTTCCCGATTCCGACTCCGTGCCCGATTCCGTGCCCGTATCCGAGTCCGCCCCGACCCGCCAATCCATATCCATACCCGGCTCCAAGAAGACCAGCGCTCTGCGCCGCCACGACGCAGCCCAGCAGCACGATAGCCAAGATTGAATTCATGATTGAAGAGCTGCAAGAGATAAGCAGACATACCGGCGTGATTTCGACGTCTAGTTGTTAGTTCTAGATGCGCGCATTTGTGAATTAAGTCTATAACATGTTTGATCTACAGAGATACTGGTGACATAGAGTAAGCCGGTTACAAGCCACTCAACTACGAGTGAGGTAAATAATGATAAATAGGGCCAGACACAGAGAGAGAGAGAGAAAGAGAGAGAGAGAGTGTGAGAGGAGACCTCCATTCGAGAGAGAGAGAGTAGAGAGAGAGAAAGAGAAAGAGAGAGAGAGAGGAGAGACAGAAAGAGAAAAGGGAGAGAGAAAGAGAGGAGAGAGAGAGAGAGAGAGAGAGAAGAGAAAGGAGCGTGTGGTGCAAGAGTCGAGGAGAGAGCGATATAATGAGAGCGAAGAAAAACGACAAGACAGACAGACAGATACAAATAAACACGCACAGCGGCGCCACCGGCGCACGACATACACACAGAGAGTAGAGAGAGAGAGAGAGAGAGAGAGGAGAAGAGAAGAGAGAAGAGAGAGAGTGGGAAAGAAGAGAGAGAGAGAGAGAGAGAGAGAGACTCGAGAAGAGAGAGAGCGAGAGGACGAGAGAGGAGAAGAAAGAGAGAGAGAAGAGAGAGAGAGAGAGAAGAGAGAAGAAAGAGAGAAGTGAAGAGAGAGAGAGAGAGAGAGAGAGAGAGAGAGAGAGAGAAAAGAGAGAGAGAGAGAGTGTGGAAGAGAGAGAGAGAGAGAGATGAGAGAGAGAGAGTACGAGAGAGAGAAGAAAGTGTGTGTGAGAGAGAAATAACAGAGTGTGTCTGAGAGAGAGAGAAAGTGTGTGAGAAGAGAAAAGCGCGAGAGAAAGTGAGTAGAGAAGGGGGGTGCGAAAAACGAAAAACAGTTTATAAAGTCAAAGAGAAGGCAGGCAGACAAGCAACATCAACCCAACAAGTCAACAACTAAGCAATAATACTTACAGAGACGTTTTCACCAGGTTCTTCACGGTTCCAAGTAATTCTGCAAGTGCAAGTAGCTTAATGCTGTTCGCTAGCGTCGCTTATATATCAGCTAGAGTCCCAATGGCCTATTTGCTCCGCTTTCCGCTCCCTTTGTGCATGGCGCTCGCAATATTTTAACACTGACTGCAACTTGCATAAACACAACCTAATAGCCTCGAGCTTAATGACAGATCGACCGCGGGCACCGATAAATCAAAGGCCGTTGTTCGGTGGAGCGCCTTTATCCTCTCAGCTCGTCTCATCGCGACAGACGCGAAGGTTGCTCGTGAAAATTCGTCATCGTCGTCGCGGATGTCGCGGCTTTATATCGTAGCGCTGTTGACTGAGATCTCTAGTTCGTTAATTCCGTATGTCAATGCAGTATTTGTCTGAAGGATATGATAGTGATGGTGGGTGTCGGTGGCCTCTCGGGTGGGGTGAGGCGTTGATAGGGCGGATGATATCGTAGGGGAGAGTGTGGTATGCGTTGTGTATGTTATATATATATTATATATTATAAATAATATTATAATTATATATATATATATATATATTATATATATCCTCAAGTCCCTTCTCGTGCAAAGGAGGGTATAAAGTAAGGGAAGAGTGTAGTAATTAATTAATAATTGCCTTTACATATACATTGTGGCCCCTATCCATGCTATATGTTCGCCTCAATCAGACGATGAGAGATACTCCTCACAAAATTTTGTCGGCTCGACGCCCGGAGTGTTTAATGCCATCGACTGTGTCATAATTTAGAAAAGTTGTAAAGTATTACGCCTATGGACCGATTCAATGGGTGTGTTGCGCTGATAAAAATTACACGCGGCTGCCAGCTCGCCACATCACCCTCACATGCCTGTAGCCATCGTGTATGTCATGACCCCGTACCTGTTTTACAGTTGTACTTGTCTCCAAACCACTAACATTAATTACGATGAGTGTGAGCTTGAGTAAGTCGATTCGCCCACGAGTATCAATAGTCAGGAGTCCGCAATAATAGAACGTGTGACTAATAGAAGTGAGTAGAGAGGGAGACCTAGAGACTGAGAGTAAGAGTAGAGAATGGAGTAGAGAGTTAGAGACTGAGACTAGAGTATAGAATAGAGAATAGAGTAGAGATAGGAGAGTAGAGAGTAGAGATTAGATGTATGTAGGAGGAGTGAGAACTAGAAGTAGAAATATTGAGAATGAGAGTAAGGTAGAGTAGAGAAGTAGAGGTAGAAGTAGAGAGTGAGGAGTAGTACGAGCTAGAAGGAGTAGAAGAGTAGAGTAGAGATTAGAGACTGAGAGACAAAGAGAGGAATAGAGAATGAGAGTAGAGTAAGGAGAGTAAGGACTAGAGACTTAGAGTAGAGAATAGAGTAGAACAGTAGAGAGTAGTAGAGTGCCAGATAGACTCGAATGATCTTGGAGTAGAATAAAAGAAAGTAGCAATAAGGTAGTAAGAGTCAGAGCCGAATGATAACTAATAGGTATGAGAATCCACACGAGAATATATGCCCTGGTATAGAGTAAAAAAGTCAGAACCAAGGATCAGAGGAGACTAGAGACTAAAGTAGGAGAGTAGAGAGGTAGAATATTAGAACATAATGTCGAGGGTAAAAGAAAGGAGAAAAAAAGGAGAAAGTAAAGAAAGAGTAAGCGAAGTAGAGAGTACCAGAGAGTTAAAGATTATTACAGAAGGAATGTATAATAATAATAAAAATGTTAGGATGGAATAGAGAATGACGGATATCGGTCCTCCCGTACAGGTAATAGGAAGAAGTAGAGACATCGCGGAGCATGTATATGTAAAGCGTACTATATGCGTTTAAATAAGGGTGGAATCATCGGATAATAGAAGGATAATTTCAGGTGGTTATCGTGAAATTTAATGTCAATTATATTTATTAATCGTCTATTAGATTCACACAGAATTGCGAGCTATGCATCAACGCCGTGGTTTTTTTCTTATATACAACCAATATACGTTATTAAATTGTTTTAATCATACTCCGAATGATAACAATTAACTAGGCCTGATATTGCTTTATAATTTATTCAAAAAAAGAAATACGATCTACTTCCGTTGGATGATAAAAGGGCTGAGCGAAAAATGGAAATAAAAACCATCAAATAAAAATTTTTCAAGAAAATTTATTTGATGTTTTTTTTTAAATTACACCAGCCCTTACATAAAACACCACATCTCAAAAGATAAAGTTTTATATATAAAGATTATATGTTTACATGCTCAGTGAGCAGGCGGGTGAGCTCCATGAGAGACTGAGGTTAGGTCGGAGGACGAAAGAAGAGCGAGGCGTACTGGCGAGAATGGAAATGGAATAGAAGATGAAGCAAGAGTGAGAGAGAAAGGAGGTTAAGAAAATAAAAAGAGAATTATAAAAAAAAAGAAATAAAAAAGGAAGTATAAACAAAAGAATTGAATGAGGTGAGAGGTTGAAACATTTTTTAAATAATTGGGTACGTGCAAGGTGCGCGGTTGAGTCTGGACAGTGTTTGTACAATGTGAAAGATTTTAAGATTTAAATTTCATAAATAAAAAAAGTTTACCCACACACCAAAGTGAAAAGAGACTGGGGAAAATTGGATAAGGAGCAGGACTAGGGGTGGAGGAGTCTGACAGGGGAGAACATGGGGGCAAGGTGAGAACGAAAAAGCAGACGGCAATAAATGACAGGAAGCGAAGATATTTACGGAAAGGCATGGGATCGAAAAATGAGAAGGCAGATAGCCGCCAGTGAACAGCTGGGGTGGGAGATGTTCGGAAAGTTGACGCATGATAAGTAAATGCTCGATAGCTATTCCACTGGCGGATAAAGAAAGGACGGGGCCATGGGGTGTGCTGAGGTGGTGATAACGCGCACGGTTCGTTATATAACAACATATACTCCGATGATTAACATTCACCACTTGCCCCTCGGTAAAGATCTAATAAATTTAGCTCGCCTAAGGTGCTTCTGTCTTACAATTTGCCACAGTTTTTCAAATATAAGCACAACTCATAAGGCCAGAAAGTTAATAAATATCATGTCATAGATGCACGTTGGTCTTATCTATATTTTTATACTTACACTAATCAGTAGAATAACAGCCAAAGACAACATTGTGACGAGTGCTCTGCAAATATAAGAAACAATTTAAGATCTCACGAAACGAAAGAACCGTTAGCAATATCGTAGTCACGGATATAACATTCCTTTACTTTGCACTGCGTGAGTCCAACATGTTCTGTTAGCATCTATGACAAATACGACATACGCATATACGCTCTCCTATGACACAATTTGTCATAGGAAGATTCTTCCTATGACAGATATTGTTTTATGTGTTGCGCGCATCATAGGAGTTTAGGAGCGCTATTATGAACGCAAGCAGTGAATTTCAGCTGTAAAGCGGAACGAAGTTGACTCGTCAATATTTGTCATAGGAAGAATCTTCCTATGACAAATAGTGTCATAGGAGAGCGTATATGCGTATGTCGTATTTGTCATAGATGCAAGCAGAACCGCTAGCAATATCGTAGTCACGGTATAAGTATATCGGTTATACTATAACATCTCTATATGTTTTGCACTGCGTGAGTCGTACTCTACGAGCAATAGTTACATAAAGACATATCTATCAGCTCCGACTATCTCGGCTTTTGCACATAGTATAATATAATATAAGCCGTAGAAAAAGTTATACTTACATTACCAAAGATGCTTTCAGAGGTCCTCTCGATGCAAGTAAGTGGTCTGCAAGTGCTGACGATAGGCTAAGAGAGAAGGGTTTATATATCCTAATCCTTGATCGTTAACCTCCACCGCCTTTCTTCTGCCCCAGCCGAGCAGCCTTGTATTACTCGCCTCTTGCTCACCACCCGCGGCCATATTGTATATCAATCATACTCGAGGTCACGTATTTCGCTGGCAAAGAAATGTGAGCTGTCGCTACTGTCACACCATCACGCGAAATCAACATCTGATGACCGCATGCGGAACTTTAGAAACTGACAGGAGCTTGTTGACAAAAACTACCCGATCCTAAATTCCAACCCGCTTATGAAAAATCGATTAGTATATTTAATCAACAGATTTAGTGTGCGGGACACGCGTGAACGAACGCGTAACGGAAAGTCATTTTTTACCGCTGCGTCTGTGACCTTGGTTCAACGCGCAACCTAGCTATCGTCTGACGGTAATTGATAGAGTCTATGTGGTGACATATATACTGGAAAAATCCCGTGGTTTTAAGCTAGGTGCTTTATTTCCGTGATATTGTATTTGGTTCGTTTCACTAAGCCAACTCGGTTTAGGCGTTATATTACGAATGTATAACACGCACCGAGTGCATGGTGGCGCCGTGTACGTATATGTTTATCATAAAACTTTACTATAGGCAGGAGAGGATACGGGAACCCAACTGTGCTATATAGTAGTTTATAATTGTGTAGGCTAATTAGTTAAACTCTGCTCGAATCAACCTGCGGGTATACCATTCCATGATCAGGAGTGTCAGAATATATCATCAGGGGTTAATCATGACAAATGTTGTCATTATTTGTCAAAATTTGTCATTATTAACCCCTGATATCATCTATATTACGACACTCCTGCTGTAATCGAATGAAACGGGAGTAAAACCACACAAATTCCACCCGATTCCCTTTTCTTACGCCAATCCGAATTCTAAATGATGCAACGTGCAGCATAATGACGTAGATAGGTAACGATGACGTTGTTGTTGTTGCAGGTTACGCACTGGCAGCACCCGCGCTTCCACGCCTACTTCCCCGCCGGTAACTCGTGGCCGTCAATCCTCGCCGATATGCTGTCTGACGCAATCGGCTGCGTCGGTTTCTCGTGGGTGAGTATTCAGCAGACGCCTGGCACTGTGCCAGAAGCAAGCAGCTGACAATGTGCCAGCAGTATTGTCTTGCGCCTCGTAATAACGTGTCGGGTGCCGTCTGGCGATGAGCCAGCCGTATTTACTAATACCTGCTAATTATGTGTTATTTGCCAACTTTATGTAAATCAGCTAGCAATATCGATCATAATTATGGCAACGAACTAGTGGTATTGATTATCACTTTGGAGTTTAAAAAGGCATCGATTAGTCATTGATCTAACCGAATAATCGATGTCACGATTATGACGACAGAACTTATTTAATTGTCAACATTTAATTAATCATCGGTCTGGCAACTCGCTTCTCTACTATGTGCGGCGTAAATCTTTCTATAGCTATTCTAGCCAATCTAGAAATTCGGTAAGTACAAATAATGTTCAATGCAGTAGCATACTTAGAGAATTTTACGGAAATATGTACGCTGTTCTGTTGTTTTCTTTGTGAAATCGTACGTATTCGATCAGCGGGTAGCACATTACAACATTTTGTAAATGCTTGAACATTTAAACAACCAGGCGACCGCAACACAACCACTCCAATATTTTTGCTGGCCAAAAATTCCCTCGTACGCCACTCGCGCGTTTCGTGATGGATCGACATCTGTATGGCTTTTAGGTTTCCATATAAATCATCAGTCTACGGGCACGTGGTCGGCACGACAGGATGTCATGCTAGGAAATTACAGCAATTCGCATTAGTGATTTTCATGCATATGATTTTCAGGAGAACCAACGTAAAGCTGCTTAACACCATCCCAATCAAGTCAACCTTATTATTCTTTTAATTATTATTATAATTCTATTATTCTAGGCAGCCCGTAGTACACCGTTTGATTTTGTACACGTCTCTTTTCTTCCGTAAACGAAATAAATAATGAATCGCTTATATTTTAATCATTAATACTCGATTTCAATAATACTCAATAATGCAATAGTTTTGAATTATTGACTAAACAAATACAGACACCATCTCATGCGACATTTTGTCCTCGTGTATGTTCACGTGATTTTCACGCGCCAACGAGAGTCAATATGCGCGTTGGAACTATTTATATGACGATTCGTCATACGAGGAATGCTGGTATAATTATGTCGAATTGCGACGTGGCCGCTCACATGCAGAACATGTTCATTAGTTGTTTGTTTGGTTATTAATCAACATTTGTTTGATCGATCTATTAATGCTATAAATAGCAAAGCGAGCACGTCACGTCACGCGCGCGATCACGTGATCGTTTCGAACGGTTACGGAGCGCGCGCCGCTGCCAGTGCTGCCGTCGTATTTAAATACCGCCGAAGCTCGTTAAGCTCGTTTTTAGTGGCGATTAATCACGGTTGAGGCTTAACATCTAAATGGTCTTTGTTCGGCCGTCGTTACGGACAGTCGTTACGGCAGCTAGCCGCGCTTTGTGAAGCGACTCGACCTGAGCGTTTCCACGGCAATCGACGCATTCCTTCGGTGATCGATAACAAAGATCTCATTAAAAAAGGAAGGTGTGATCGCGAGAGCAGACGTGCTTGTCTCATCGCATGCGGACGTAGTCTAACGTGACGGGTATGTGCGTTTCTCTCTTTTTCGCAGGCAGCGAGTCCGGCCTGCACAGAACTGGAGACGATTATGTTGGACTGGATAGGTAGGTGAACGCAATATAACCAGCGTCTATGACAGATAAGACATACGCATATACGCTCTCCTATGACACTATTTGTCATAGGAAGATGACAAATATTGTTGTATGTGTTGTGCGCATCATAGGAGTTTAGGAGCGCTATTATGAATAGCGAAGCATGTGAAGCAGCAGTGAAGAACGCAAGAAGCAGCAAGAAGCAGGAAGGAACGCAAGAAGCAGCAAGAACGCAAGCAGTGAATTTCAGCTGTAAAGCGGAAGGAAGTTGACTCGCCAATATTTGTCATAGAACATGTTGATATGACAGAGAACGTCACTCGAGTATTCGTCATTATTTCCAGTCCGTCAGTTCATGACAGCTGGCTTATGTTTGTGGCTATTGAATTATAGCGTTCGCTGTTTTTTGAGAATCTGATTTCGTGAATTGCCTTTGACCTTCTCCGTGTCAGCGTCTGTTTCTTTTCAGAAAGGAAACCGTAGAAATATAAATATACTATATTGAATAAATATTATAACAATTCTTGATAGTGATTATAAGGAAAATGCTTGAAAGTAGAAAGTAATCAAAGCAAAAATTCGATTCAGCTCGCATGGTGAATCTTCCCAATATCTTCCGTCCATTCGAAGACATGGGCAGAGGGGGAGGCGTCCTACAACAGTCAGCTAGCGACTGCATCCTCGTCTGCATGCTCACTGCGCGTGCGCAGGCCATCCGACACTACAAAGAGGAGCACGGATCCGAGGAGGACGGAGCCATCTTGTCTAGGATGGTCGCTTATTGCTCGAAGGAGGTCTACATCGCTCTGTTCTCACCTGTTATCACTGACACTCGCTGACCTGTTGTTATCGATATTACCAGGAGCGTATAATGACAAATATATACAAATTTGTACAATATATACAAATATTGTATATATTGTATACTGTATATATGTAAATATTGTATATATATGTATACTGTGTCCAATACAAATATATTTGTCATTATACGCTCCTGATATTACTTATATTATCTTAATTATATTATTATAATTATTACAGTAATTATATATATATATTACCAGGAGTAGATAATAGGGAATACTCCTGATATTACCTATTATTAGGAATACTAGTTCACCTGTTATTATTTATAATAATTATGTAACATGCCAATAGCTTTTAAACTTATAATAATTATTAATAATAAGTTTCTAACAGCACGGATCGATCATATCTTTGCTGATTTAAAAAAAACTCTATGGTGACGAACGGATTCGTGTTTCGTTTTGCAGGCACATTCCAGCGTAGAGAAAGCTGCCATGATTTGTTTGGTTAAAATACGAATACTGGAGACAGACGAAGAATACGCACTGCGTGGCGAAGTTCTATCCGAGGCAATCAAAGAGGACAAGGACGTGGGACTAATTCCCTTCTATGTACGTGCGGTACAGCTACGGCCTGCTGATAGCTGTACATTGATTTATGCAGAACGCGAAATTTATCGTAATTTCTTATTATAACTCCCATACAGATGAGAGTACGGGAAGGAATCCCTGACCCCCCCTCCCATCCTTAGATACGGCAGTGTTGCCTGCAGGCGTGACTCCACGACGAAACCTACGATTGAAGAACTATATCTACAATTTTGTATAACTTAGGCGATAATCGGGTTAATCGGATTAATAGGAATTATCGGATTAATCGGATTATCGGAATAATTAGATTATTCGGGTTAGGGGATAATCAGGATAATATATACAGGAATTCCCCCAGCTGACGTCAGGTGTTATCCATCGGTCGCCATTGCTCTTATCGATCAGTCCCTCGTAACCATTACGCTGTTTTATATCGTAAATGTGTTTTTAGGTTTTAGTGTGTACGAACATTCTCTGCTTTAGTGTGCCTCTGTGGCTTACTGCTGGCTACACTTGTCTTGTGATTGCATGAATGCGTGATAAGTTAAATTTTCTTGTGAAATGAGCGCCAACATTTACGCGCGCGCGCGCGCGCGCGCGTGTCGTGCGTGTGTGTGTGTGTGTGTGCCTGTGTGTGTGTGATTGTGTGGTGTGTGTCCTGTGTGTGTTGTGTGTTGTCGGCTGTATGTGTGTGTGTAATCGTGATTGTGTGTGTGTGGCTGTGTTCTTGTTTTGTCTTTCTTTACTTCTTACTTCACTCTTTCTCTCTCCTTCTATTGCGTGCTTTCCCTCTCACTTCTTCCTCGCACATTTCTTTTCACATCTCTCGCTTTTTTTCTTCCACTTCCTTTTCTTCATTCCTTTTCATTCCCCTTTTGCTCTCCCTCTCTCTCTCTCTCTCTCACACACGTTCTCTCTCTCTCTCTTCTCTCTCTCTCTCCTCTCTCTCTCTCTCTCTCTCTCTCTCTCTCTCTCTCTCTCTCTCTCTCTCTCTCTCTCTCTCTCTCTCTCTCTCTCTCTCTCTTTCCCTCTCCACCTCTCGCGCTCTCTCTCCCTCTCTCACTCTCTCTTTCTCTCCCTCTCCACCTCTCGCTCTCTCCCTCTCTCCCCCACTCTCTCGCTCTCTCTCCTCCCCTCTCTCTTCCTCTCCCTCTATCTCCGTCTCTCCCGCCCTCTCTCTCTCTCTCTCTCTTTCCCTCCCTCTCTCTCTCTCTCTCTCTCTCGCTCCCTCTCCACCTCTCGTTCGCTCACTCTCGCTCGCTCTGCCTACAGGTGTCAGCCACCCTTGGTACGACATCATGCTGCTCGTTCGACAACCTATCTGAGATCGGACCTGTGTGCACGAGCGAGGATCTGTGGTTACACGTAGACGCTGCATACGCCGGCAGCGCCCTCATCTGTCCGGAATTCCAATATCTAAAGAAAGGTGTCGAGGTAAATAGCCGGTTTTAGTTTGGCCTGTGATGCCCCAGTGACATTTATGGCGATTTTTTACTGTTCGATGAGATGGGAAAAAATTCCGGAGAAAATGTTGATTTGCGTTCAAAATCGATTAGAATCCCGTTCGAATGTATATGCCATTCGGATTACGCCTCGTTTTCAGCTCCAAAATCCTAGCACACCTGCATGCGTAAAGGTGGAAGCAGTTGGAACATAGCGACTTAACTCATGCCTTGATGTAATGGGCAATGCGTCTCGTTGTGTTTCCATGTTGCTTGTTTTATTTCTGGATGGCTTCCTTTTTTTAAATTGCCGAGGAACAATTCCGACATTCTCAGTGGCGTTCTTTAAAAACAACCGCTAGTTCTGGAAAGGGTCCTGATGTTTGTAGGTCAGGTGCCACTGCCTGAGTTTTCATCCCAGTTTAGGCCTGTTGCCGGGAATATTCTAGAGAGCTCACGATTTTCTCGTATTGCCCCGATCGACACCGCGTGAGCCAATGCCATTTTGTAGCAAGTTTGCCTATATCGTGTACAGATGGCGCTACGGTGTCATTTTTCAGTAGATGCAGCATTGCTGGTCAATGAATTGCAGCATCTACGAAAATGATGGTGTGTGTTTTTTTAATCTCTGTTTGCAGCACGCCAGTTCTTTCAACATGAACCCTAATAAATGGATGCTGGTGAATTTCGACTGCTCCACAATGTGGTGAGCGATAACATAGCACGGTGAAGACTGCTGAAACAAGCTCGCGTACGCGCTTAAAGGATTACTAGCCATGTCCCGAGTGTGTGGGGTGACGCTCAGCGGAGTTAGGTGGGGCTTGCGGTTAGTCGTTATTATGCGCGTCTCAGGGCCACTACATGAAAGACACCATATGAAAGACACCACATAAAATGTTGTTGTTGTTGTTTTGTTTTGTGTTATATTGTTGTTGTTGTTGTTGTTGTTGTTGTTGTTGTTGTTGGTGGTGGTGGTGGTGGTGGTGGTGGGTGTTGGTGGTGTTGGTGGTGTAGGTGGTGGTGGTGGTGCTGATGATAGTGGTGATGGTGGATGTTAATTGTCCTCGTTCTAGTTTTAATATTAAATGTCTATACGTTGTAACGTGATTATTATATGACACATCTATGTATTGGCACGTTAGTGGGGGAGGTGGTTGTGTTTCACACGTGAGCAAAAGGAGGAGGCGGAGCAAGAGGAGGAAGGGGAAGAGAAGAGAGAAGCCGGGGAGGAAGAGGATAATGAGGAGGAAGGGGAGAAGGGGAAGGCGGAGGCGGCGGAGGCGTTCACCTATATAAAAAAACACCATTTCATCTAGGCAACAAAACGCCTCCTTGTAACTACTAAGTAGTGTACAAGGGCTAAAGTGTAGTAAGCTAAGCTTAGCAGTCCATCGGAGCGACGTCTCGACACCTTGTCAATGCGAGCGCAATCGTTTGTCTAACACATTGAGAAGCGAGCTTCAGACGGCCTCGCGGGGCCGTCAAGCAAAAACTCTCGGCGGGATCCGAGTTAACGTGCGTCGCCATTATGGCTTCTATTGGCCATCAGTCAGCGTCGCAGCCTCCTCCTCGCAACCCTCCTCCCATCGCCACGATTAGCTTTAACAATTGATGCCGGCTGAATTTTCGATGTGAAAAAGAGGGACGCTAATATAGGTAGATTTCGCGTTCCAAACGAGACCCGGTGGTATTCGATGTAGATATTGCTGCTGGGAGAAGTGAGAGCGACAACTCGGCGTGTATGTCGACAGTGAGAAGTAGATGAGGAATGAATGCTGAATAAAGTCACGACAACGAATTAATGTCGATCCTCGCATCGTATTCGAAAACCTCCAGCAGATGGGGCTAGCGTACACGTTAGGTGTATCTCCCCCCCCCAGAACTTACTGAGATGAACAGCTTTAGATGAGCTAGACATTTGAGACGCGCATAATAACAATTCGCATCCAACCAGATAAACAATGTTGTTATTTTTCTCGGGGTGCAGGGTTCGAGACCGGGACCTTCTCACGGGCACCTTGGCCGTCGATCCCGTATACCTACAACACCGCTACTCAGGTAAGACTGGTCACATCCATTTCCTCACTTTGCACAGCCGCGAGCAAGAACGGGAAAATGAAGCCATTCTGATAATATAAGCGCTTGCTTCTAGATGCACATCCCGACGTGACATTTTCGCCATACGTGCCAGCTCATTTAATTTGCAATTTTTACACAATTCGCGTTACTAATCACAATCTCATGAACGCCTACGCATTATTGCGCAGACATTACCATATCTCACGCTTGTCCTCACGGCAGTATATAGACACTTACAAAGATAAACTTCACAGAATAGTGACTTACAACGTATGATGCCGGAACTTCGTCGCGAGATGCACTTTCATCGGTGTTATTTCGCTTCACTAATTGCTCTAACACATTCTTATTGCGAATACGATTGCATTTTAAGTCTATGCCAGCGACAAGAAGACACAACGAAAGCGGACAATTGTTCCATGGTGACTGGCGGGCGTTTCTTACCTAACACGACTTCTTTATTATTATTTCACGCTTTCAGATAAAGCCATCGATTATAGAGTAAGTCTAAGGCCATGATTCAGTTAGCTTATAAGCTACTAACATAAATGTAGTTGGTTCGTCGTTAGGTCAGTCGTTAGTAAATGCTACAGTCCCTATGTTGCGGCTGTGAAGTATCGTTATAACACACGGTAATGCTGTAACGACATCGTTAAACGTCCTGCTCGTAAATCTAATTAATAATTAATCATCGTAAAAATATCAAATATTAATGAGGAACTCCTAACGCGGCGCCGGTTCGCGACATATTGCCTGCGATGAAATAATGACACACGCGTACTGTGAGCCTCGGTCGCTACAGAATGCACGAACGCTCTTTGTGTATGTGTTTGTTGTTAGAATTTATATCGCTCTCTCGCTCTCTCTTTCTCTCTCTCGCTCTATATCTCTACCTACTTATCTATCCATCTATCTATCTCTCTATCTATCTTTCTATCTATCTCTCTATCTATCTATCTATCTATCTATCTATCTATCTATCTATCTATCTATCTATCTATCTATCTATCTATCTATCTAT